TAGAGTGCATGTTTAGCACCAGAGGGAATAGCGACTTGCACTCGCTCATCCTTAAAACCAGCAAAAGTGGATATGTGGTTTTCCTAGCAAAAAAAAACCATTCAGTAGGATCACTATGGCTGGCAGTGCCATGCTCATTGTGCACTTTCTCTGTGGTGTGTTGTTGTTAATGACTGGAGATAATTAAGATTAATATTTATATTAATGTTCAGACAGTGATTCTTTTTCTTTTAGGATTTAATAAAAAAAAAAAAGTACGGTAAAACTTTATTTTGATGGTCCCTTTTGAACGTTCTGTTGACAATAAGTAATGTTTCACCTACATGTCAACTAACACTCATTAGACTATTAGTAGACTGTCTGCATCATATCTCCTAACTCTTTATTGTGATAGTCGCCCAACAGACTACTGACTATAAGTAACTTTGCAAGTACGTCAACTTAATCTAACCCTACCAGTCTACTAGTACTCTACACTAACACTCTAATGAGAGCTCGTAGATGTGTAGGTGTAAGTATAGTCAACAGAATGTGTTAAAGGGACCATCAAAATAAAGTGAAATCAAAAGTACAATTCACATGTTTATATTACGCTTATCTTTGATTTACCTAATATTTTTAAGAGGTACAGGCAGGGGCGCCGTAAGGGGGGGTGGAGGGTTAGGACGATTTCTAGGGCCCGGCATGAGAGGGGGACTTTCTAACGAGGGGGACCCCCACATTATCACTAGATCCCACACACTCCACGAGTCTGTGCTGATGAGAGAAAGGGTTTAACACAACAACCCAACATTTACACGTTTATTCACTTGACGGCAAATAATTTATTACTCTTTAAAAAAAAAAAATAGTTTTAGCATAATTGTTTTTTTGTGCTTTTTAACAGACCAGCTTACAACTTTAACAAAACATACATAAATTATATACCGATCATTTACTAATGATTCGATCATCATTTGCTCATGATTAACAAATGAAGAGTTCAGATGCAAAAGCCTCTAAGTGCCATCTGAAATTTTCTTCTAAAATGGGCATTTTTATCAGGTTGCTATGTTAAGGTTCAGTTATTTTACTCTAATGGCAATGTATAGGTCCTTTTCTATGCAATTAAAGTGAAATAACTGAACATAAATATAGGAGCCTGATAAAAATGCCAATTTTAGAAGAAAATTGTTTATTGAAAGTTATTGAGACAATAGTACAATGTTGACATTTCAATTAATAATATATTAACTAGTAACTTATTAACCATTTACTAAGGATCTGTTTGATTATTTCATGATATGCTATTTTTTAAGATAACTAACGAAAAATTTGTAAATCTTTAGCAGATTACTTAATTTGTGAACATAGTCATGTTTTGTAAATTATTAGTTCATCAATATCTAATCACTTGTAATGATTTATAACTTAATCTACAAAACAGATAAAAAATATTAATATATCACTTATTAATCATTTATGAACACAGTCATGTTTTGTAAAAGATTACTTAATCATTAACTAATCACTTATAACTGAACTTTATTATAAAGTGTTACCAAAAAAAGTGTCCTGCATTTTTCACGTCACTACCGAAACAGTGTATGTTTTAGTCCATTGGCTGAATCTGATTTTAATTACACCCCAACATTTATGATTAGGAAATATTTGTGTCACTTATAGCTAGATGGAGAGTAGATAGGCCCCATCATTTTGAGCTAAATGTGTTCAAAAGTCTGAAAAATCTGTGTGTAACTTTAAGGAACGTCACTTCCAAACACCTTTTTTCTGCAATTAAGCACAGTTTTGGGAGTTCTTACGTAACATTTAGTTTTTATATAACTGTTGAGAACTGTGCTAGCTAACCATGTGCTGATTAGCATCTTTGAGCTAGGTTTAAAAGTATCTAAAATGGTCACTACTACCCAAACATTTGTGAATGATTTTGACCGAAAATGTGTAGTCACTACCGAAACATGGGATGTTTTGTCAAAACTAAAGTATACTGAATCAAGATGTTATGACAGTTTTGGTTCAATGTATATTCAAACTAATGAATCCTTAAAGGGGTCATATGACGTTGCTAAAAAGAACATTATTTGGTGTAATGAAATGCGTTTATGCGGTTTAAGGTTAAAAAAACACATTATTTTCCACATACTGTACATTATTGTTTCTCCTCTATGCCCCGCCTTTCTGAAACACGTCGATTAAAGTAGTTTCGCTTTCACAACGAAACACAGCACCTTCACGACATGGCGGCAGCAACAATACTACAGCGAGAATAAAAGTTACGCCTTCTTTCTTTGCGTGAACATTTGGGCGGCGTTATGCAAATCTTCCCACACCGTGACGTAGACATGTGGGGGCGTGTTAAAACGAGCTGTTTTAGGGGGGCGTGGCTGACTCTTAACTTTTATAAAGAATATCTCTTTGGATTTGAGAGTTTAGTCTTTGCAACTTTACAGATCTTCTTTATGCACCAAGAGCTTGTAATTCAAAATACAACAAATTTCATGAATTACACTTGAAATATTGTTAAAAATGTAATTGTTATTGATTTACCTCGGGAAAAATATATATTTACAATGTAGATGTAAGCAAAATCTTAAAGGGGTCATATGATGCGATGATATGATGCGGTTGCAAAGACTAAATTCTCAAATCCAAAGAGATATTCTTTATAAAAGTTAGGAGTCAGCCACATCTACCTAAAACGACTCGTTCTAACACGCCCCCACATGTCTACCTCACGATGTGGGAAGATTTGCATAACGCTGCCCAAATGTTCACGCAAAGGCGGCTAACTTTTATTCTCACTGAAGTATTTTTGTTGCTGCCGCCATGTCATGAAGGCGTTGTGTTTCGTTGTGAAAGCGAAACTACTTTGTTTGGCCTTCCAAAAGAGGACGATATCACTTCGTCATGCCTGGAGCTGATCCGTGCTGGTCGCTGATGGAATACATCAGTTATGTGCTGTGGATCGCCGGATCGGCTTTCACCGTGGACGAAGTGTAGTCCAGCCCGGGGTCGTCACGTGTGGTTGCCACAAGCCTGCCGGCCTCTGCTCACTCTAGCCCGCAGTGTGTGACGCTGTGTGTTTCGTTGTGAAAGCGAAAATACTTTGTTTGGTCTTCCAAAAGAGGACACGACTAGAAACCAGTGGTTAAGTTGTATTTACAATAATGTTCCAGAACACTTCAACCCAAATATTCAGATGTGCACAGCACATTATGCGTTTCCTGATCCTGGTAGAGTAGACTACAATGCCGGCTGTTCTGACTCACAGTCAGTAAGTACGTTTTTATATTTAAAGGATTTGCCACTGATGATTCAAACGCAAGTTTTAAGCAGTGTAGAGTAGCACTTGTTGTTTGTCATTTCTCCGATCACAAATGCAAACATGGTTTTATGTTTACACGGCGTGATGCAACGCAACGCGTAAAAAAAACAGTATAAGTGTTATTATAATCAGTAATTATGTCCCCACTGGATGGATGGGTTTTCATATTTTTGTCTCGTCGCTCTGGCCGGACAGGGCATCACAGTATGTTAAGGGGCGTAACATTTCCGTTAGAGGTATTCGGCCAATCACAACGCACTGGATAGCTGGCCAATCAGAGCACACCTCGCTTTTCAGACTGATGAGATTTATAAAAATCGACACGTTTCAAAAAGGCGGGGCATAGCGGAGAAACAATAATGTACAGTATGTGGAAAATGTGTTTTTTTAACCTTAAACCGCATAAACGCATTTCATTACACCAAATAATGTTCTTTTTAGCAACATCATATGACCCCTTTAATAGGTCAATATAACCATTGTAATTAATTATGTTTGGTAGTGACAAATTTGGGGAGGACAAATATTCCAAAACTTTCTGAAAATACAATATGAGAATTAACTGCACAATTGCTAGAAATGTTTACCTTGGATATTATACAATTTGCATACATACAATAAATTTTTTCCCCAAGATGTTTCCAACTCTGACTTTGGACCAATTCTGTAGAATGGCCCATATAATAGTTATATTAATAGGTCACACTATGTGCAGTGTGAGGACCAAACCGTATCTCCAGGTGAAGATATTTTGTAAATTTCTTAGCGTAAATACATCAAAACTTAATTTTCGATTAGTAATATGCATTGCTAAGCAATTAATTTGGACAACTTTTAATGTGATTTTCTCAATATTTTGCTTTTTTTGCACCCTCAGATTCCAGATTTTCAAATAGTTGTATCTCAGCCAAATAATACTCATTTATTCAGCTTTCATGTGATGTATAAATCTCAATTTTTGACCCTTATGACTGGTTTTGTGGTCAATGGTCACAAATTTCACTGCTTCCATTCCTTTAACTTGAAATCTTTGACCTACCAAGTCAGTGAACGCATGGAACATTTTATAGCCCACAAAAAAAAAGTTGACAATAGTTAACCAGAGTATACATTAAAAAAAAAATACAAATAAAAAATTCACACAATACCATGCAATAGTTTCAGCATTTCATGTTTTAATTTTGCATGTTTAATTCTTCATTCCAGCTGCACTCCAAATCTACAATATTCTGAAAACGTGCACAAAAAGGTTTTAGGTTTTCCTTCCTCCTGCCAGAAAACAAAAAATAAAATAGAAAAAAAAATTATAAAATAGAAAACATAACTATTACTCAAGCAGAGTATAGAGGAAACTAGTGTTAATTCTAGAAAGTTCCTTCTAGTCATGTAATTGATCAGTAACTCAAGTCGCATCATAATATAAATGTCAATTGGGAATCCTCCAGTCTGGGCTCTACACCACAGGGTTAAAAAAAAAAAAAAAAATTCTCTCCAAAAGAAATATTTTCAACTCATTATTATACCAGTAATGTCATTTATGCAGAAACTGCAGCATCTCCCATCCCTCCCTCAAACAAAATCTCCAACTTCAGGATAAAGAAGAGGAAAAAAAAGACAATATTGAGGAATGACAAATATTCAAACATCCAAAAAAAAAAAACTTTTTTTTAAATAATAATAAAAAAACAGCTCACAGATTCAAATCGATCTGATGCAGAAAACGGAGCTTATTCTCTAAAGCTCATTTCTAGGATTTTAAAATCTGTAACTTCCTAGAGTTAAATTAAAATAAATAAATGTTTGATATAGGGAAAGCGCTATAATTAGTATTTGCTTTCTTTTTTATTTGTTTCTGTTTTTATAAGAAAAATCTGAGATAACAAAAACATTTATGCGTTTTCAGATTTTTCCACTTTCACTTCTATACGGTAATGTTAACTGACAAAATATGCAAAGAAAAAAGACATTAAAAACTGTACGCAAAGGGATTTTAAAAACATTTTCATGAAATAAATAAATAAAATACTTGTGTATATCCATGAAGCATAGCTTGGGGTGGGTGAAAGGAAAAGTTAGGTTGAAAATACTTGGTTTCCTTTTGCACTTAGAGAGCGTAATGTGATGGAGGAGGAGAAAAGGGGCGGTGGGGTGGCGGAGAGCATCAGTTCGCGGCCATTCCTGTAGCCTCGGATGAGAGTCTGAAATCACAAGAGAAGACGGGTGTCTTTACACGTGTGCGCAAATGGTTTCAAGTCAGCTGAGACAAAAACTAGCAAATGGACATGTGGACTAGAAGCCTACAATACAGCCCAGGTTAAAGAAGTGCACTTCCATAATGTACTTAAAGTGCACAAATTTTGTACTTAATATACTAAAAGTGATTCTTTAGTACTTAAGATAAACTTAAGTTCATCTAAGTGTACTCAACTGTGCTATTTTGGGACACCACTGGCCTGTAGCATGAAGCCGGTTTCAGTTTTTACTCAGGCAAGTTCACGCTTAGTTTGAGCAAACTCTGAGTTTTCAGGCTCAAGAAGATTGGTTGGTTTTGAGCGGGTTTCATTGCCATTACGCTACACAGCTAACCTGCTCCGGAGCAGGTTTTATTCTGGGTTAGAGATGGCAAACCCAAACTTGACCAATCAGCTGCGAGCAAAGTGACATATCTGATGCAATTAAGCCACTCCCCCATATCTCTCGCTCCAGATTAAATCAGTTTAGAGTATCAGAATTTCAGAGACAAAATTGCCTTCTGCTGCTAATTATTTATTATAGTAATATCATATTAATTGTAATTATTCATAATTATATAAACTTTTAAAACTATTATGAGCTGGCAATTAATATTACATTTGCATTTGAATTAAGTTAAATATATACATTGCCTATAAATAAGTTTCAATTTATAAAGCTTTTAAAATGACTAATATGTATTTTCTTTTGTGCTCTTTGCTAAGGTATATAAACTATTAAATGTAGCTGATTCTTTTGCATAGCCAGGTATTTTCTTTCTGCTGACTTCTCAAACATTTGCTGCAGCAGCAGTGTTTATTCCTGCCTTGTAAAAGCATTTAAATTAATTCTATTTTTAATAACATCTATTCATTTTGAACAGAGAAGTGAATTGCGCTGACTCCTGCGAGAAGTGAATCAATCTGATGCTCTCCATGTTCCCTGTGATTGGCTGTTTGCGGCATGTGTCTCACTTTAAGGTTAATCACAAACTCTGGATCAACCCTGAGTTGACAGAGAACATTTATATCGAGCTTTGTGAGCCCAGTGAACCTGATTTGTTCGGTTTCGTTAACTCTAAACCTACTCTGAAACTCGGAGTTTGTTCATCTCGCTTCGTGCTACAGGCCACATGAATAGGAACTAAAATGCTCTTTTAACATACTATCTCTATTTTTAAAAAATGCATTTAGTCACCATTTGTAGTATACGTGAGTGTACTAGTGTATGAGAGATGGGTTTAAGTGTACTACAAGTGGTAACTAAATAAAAAAATAATAATTTTAAATACAGAGATAGTATGTTAAAAGCGCATTTTAGTTCATATTCATGGTGTCCGAAAATAGCACAGTTGAGTACACTTAAGTTTATCTTAAGTACTACTAAATAATCACTTTTAGTATAGCAAGTACAAAATTAGTGCGTGAAAATAGAGCACTTTAAGTACATCATGGAAGTGCACTTTTTTTTTTTTTACCTGGGAGCACACAGAGCAGGTTCATTACCGTGCGTTGATTAGGTACTCGGCCAGACTGATGCTGGCAGGTGAGCCGGTGATGGTGACCTGTCGGTCGGTTGAGCCCTCCACTGGATTGGCGATCTTGATCTGTGCCCCTGACATCTGACGAATCTCATTGATCTTGGCACCTTGGCGGCCGATGATGCAGCCAATCAACTGTCAGGAAAAAAACAGTAACATTTAGAAAAATTACTACTACTTAAAATAACTTCACTATTTGAATATATTATAAAATGTAATTTATTCCTGTGATGCTGGATCTTCTGCAGGCATTACTTCAGTCTTCAGTGTCTAATATGCCTGACGAATCTCATTGATCTTGGCACCTTGGCGGCCGATGATGCAGCCAATCAACTGTCAGGAAATAAACAGTAACATTTAGAAAAATTACTACTACTTAAAATAACTTCACTATTTGAATATATTATAAAATGTAATTTATTCCTGTGATGCTGGATCTTCTGCAGGCATTACTTCAGTCTTCAGTGTCTAATATGCTGATTTGCTGCTCAAGACACATTTTATTATTAGGGGTTCAAGCACGTAGTGCTGAAACCCTATTGTAAATGTGAGGATTTTTAAATTATTATTCTTCTCCGGTAAAACTGATCATGAAGACCCAACCGTAAGGCCTAAAGAGCTGAAACTTGTCAGATCGTAGTATTGCTCACTATCCAAAGACTTGCCCCAATCTGCCTAAAGGGGGCGCTACAGCGCAAAAAACAAAGCCAATTGTTGAACAGAATGAGATATCGTCACCAAACTTGGTACACGTGTATTCGCTCAATGAGATGGGGAAAAAAACATTAAAATGGCTATAACTACGCAACTGTTGTTCCCATTGACTTGAAAATTGGTATGCAGTGTCTTTGTCACTTAGTAAAGTGGCACAAGTGTCTGTGCGGACATTCGTGTTTCTCAAAAAACATGTCCGCCATTGGCCAAAGAAGTTTAAGCACCTTTTAGACAAGGTTAACAGAGGTCGACCAGAACGAAAATCTGTGGGCATGTTCGACTCATGGCCCTAAAGGTCTGTAAGAATTTTGAAAGAAATCGGCCACTGGTGGGTGAAATTGCGTTTTTTTTAAGTGCATAAATGATTGTATATTGCTCGATTTTTCACACATACACTCAATCTTCAAATCATTCGATAGATCTCCTCATGCTGAGCAACTTTGCCTCGAGAAACCACTGCTGTCAATCAAATTGTTCATTAGTTATTCTCAATTACATTAATAACCTACTTTTACAAACTAGTCCTAGGATTTTCACTCAATCTCGATCAAACCACTCCAGCACAATTATCTGGACTCTCTAAATCAATCATTATTTTTAAAAAAATCATTTAGAAAAGGGGCGTGGCCAAATATACCCAAAAGCCTATAAAACCTAAACGAAAACTCAACATTTTACGAAATAAAGAAAACATGTGTCAGATGACTCTTAACAAGCATGCAAAGTTTCATGGAGATCGGACCATAGGTGGCGCTATAACAGTTAAAAAAGGCCTCAAAAACACAATATTCCTATAATAAATGTCCTCAAATTGCAAAAAAAAAAAAGTTAATATGATATGAAGTTCTAGTGTTTGTGTAAATATATGATATATGACAAGCATGCAAAGTTTCATGGAGATCGGACCAAAGGTGGTGCTATAACCTTTGGTGCTTCAAAATTATAAATTGATCAAAAAAAATTTAATTTCTAAAACCATTATCAAAAAAAAAAAAAAAAAGATGTTTAACATTGGCATTTGGACTGTTATAACATGGTCATTTAAAAATGTGGTCCTTATATAGTATACCTAAGTGCCTATACATTTTAAAAGAAAACTCCAAACATCACAAAACTATGTGAAATCATGCATTATATGATTCTAAACAATCATGCAAAATTGTATGGAGATTGGACAGAAACGGACACTGTAACAGTTATGAAAGTTAAAAACAGTACATATCTATGCTTCATTTACTGAAAGTGCAAATACAACCACTAGATGCAGCAAAGGATCACTCATTGGCTCATTCCATCACTTATATAGTTATTTTCTCAGGATTTATTAGGTACTGACATTCAGATGGTTTAAAATCATTATAGGGCCTTTCGCATCGCTTTAGTTCCAGAGCTACGTAGGGCTGTCACGATTACCGGAGTAAATTAGAGTACTCAATTTTAAGAAAATCCTATTACTTTGTAGTGCATTGGGTATTGGGTAAAATGGTAAAAAAAAAACAGCAAAATCTATCAAAGAATTATAATCACTGTAGCATTTCATAAAGCCTTGGTCAAATTTTTAATAACGAGTGACATAATTCATATTACACATAGTTTGGCAAGATGTAATAATTATCTCCTGGCAATATTATGCACTAACATAACTATTCTAAGGCCGTTGGCGCCCTCTGCAGATTTTCACCTTTCAACATAATCATGAATCTGCAAAACTTGTGTAATGCTCTGACTAGTCAATGCATGTTAAAGTCACAAATATTATCCAATTTAATTCTATTACAGTATATTACAGTTGTGTTACAGCCTAATGTGCATGACTTTGAATAGAAAGTTCAAAAGTACAGTGACTGGAAATGGACATGATCGGTTCAATGTTGCCAGGTTCATGCAGGTGTTTAGACATAAAACTTTGTGGCCATGAGAAAAGGATGTTCCCTCAACACAGGATCTTGACATACAGATGTTGTTACATCGACAAAATGATCTCGTGGCCACAACCTTATGTTCCCACAAATCAATATGCTACGTAGGGCTGTCACGATTACCGGAGTAAATTAGAGTACTCAATTTTAAGAAAATCCTATTACTTTGTAGTGCATTGGGTATTGGGTAAAATGGTAAAAAAAAAAACAGCAAAATCTATCAAAGAATTATAATCACTGTAGCATTTCATAAAGCCTTGGTCAAATTTTTAATAACGAGTGACATAATTCATATTACACATAGTTTGGCAAGATGTAATAATTATCTCCTGGCAATATTATGCACTAACATAACTATTCTAGGGCCGTTGGCGCCCTCTGCAGATTTTCACCTTTCAACATAATCATGAATCTGCAAAACTTGTGTAATGCTCTGACTAGTCAATGCATATTAAAGTCACAAATATTATCCAATTTAATTCTATTACAGTATATTACAGTTGTGTTACAGCCTAATGTGCATGACACGCATATGAAATAAGACAAGATAATTGGCAGATTACTCGATTACCAATATAAATCACCAGTGACAGCCCTAATTCTGTGGCCTCAAAGCACTATGATGTTCCCACAACTTACACACAGCCACGACAAAACGAATGAACCAAACATGTCCCTTCCCAGTCACCGTACAAAAGAACAGCATTTATTTGAAACCAAAATAATTTGTAACATTATAAATGCCTTTACTGTGTCGCTTTTGATCAATTTAATGCGTCTTGCTGAATAAAAATACTAAAAATAAAGTAAAATAAACGAGTCAAAAATTGGGAATGGTAGTGTAATTATTTACACTATGATACCACAATTCCACAATACTAGTTGCAAGGGGTTGAAGTAAAACTTTATAAATTTGTAAAAAGTAATTAAGATGTATCTGAACACCATAATTATAATACTTGCCTACCCCTTTACAGTTAGCCCTAATATTGTCATCAGATTTTCCCCTCCTGAGAGCAAGGTGTAGAATAGTGGTCTTCACTATTTTAATTTTTTCATGAGAGCCACACTGATAGGACAAAGGCAATAAGATTTGATACTTTGCTTTTTTTCCGCAAAGTATCAAAAGTTATATCCAGTCATAAACAGCACGTCTGCTTATCAATCGGTCATCCCTGAGCATACAATATGCAATGCAATATAAAGAGGGGTGGGGGGATTCGTTATCATTTACCAGTCAAATTTGTAACTGAGACGAGATGATTTCCCTTAATGACTAAAGCAGGATTACCTTAACGCTGGGAAGCCCATCATGTATCTAACCATCCAAAAGCACATTCGGCGTTAAGAGCTGGAAAGATTGTCAAAACTGGCAACTCTGCAGTGAGTCAGTGTCATGGACGTAAGGGCAGAGCAAGTTTAAATATCTTTTCTGGTCTATATTTACATCTTGTAATGCTACTGTTTATTATTTATTAATATAGGCTACTGTTAATTATTGTTTATTTTCTTAAATATAAATGATTTGTAATTGAGCAGAAGACACTCACACCATGTGTCGCGCTGCGCTGGAACAGCTAAAAGTCTGTCTACACTGGACAAAGCGAATAACAAGCGAATAATAAAGCGAATAACAAGCGACAAAAAAAATCATTTGAATGTTGCCCATCAAAAATAGAACAAGGCATCAGTTTACTGACGGTTTAGACAACATCACTGATTATAATGGGTTTTATTGCATTTTCTCATGTCGCGCCACTCACGTCCGGCGTAGACACGGTGTAAGTTTTTTTTATAGCCCAGCTTGTTTTTAATGTTTTTAGGAAATATCGGTGTTGACTGCATGATCCTATCATTGTATTAACTGCCATGCGAGCCACAAATTAAAGCTTGGCGAGCCACGCAATGAGTAACACTGGTGTAGGAAATGAAAGGTCAGCAAACTCACATCATTTGGAATGGTCAGTTCATGAGAGCCTGTCTGTGCAGTAGCATCCATACCAGCTGCAGAACAGAGAAACAATCACCATCAGCCAATGAAAAAATCAGACGCAAAGCAATAGTGTCTGAGAGACGGGATTTACCAGTGAAGCCTTGGCTGCTGGGGGCCAAAGGAAAGGGACTCTGCTGCATTGCCAACTGGTGGAGTTTAGTGAGCTGCGGAGACAGAAAACAGCATGCCAAGATATTTAACAGGCAAAACACTACATTTGAGAGTGCTCTAATGGGTTCAGACCCTTCTGTGTTACAGAGAATTGAGAAAACATAAGAACCGTCTCTTACATCAGGCTGAGGAATGGCATGTTGTCCCTGCACCGCATATGCCTGCAAAACACACGTTTGAGATGAAACACAGATCATTCATTCACACACACACACACACACACCGCAGGAGCATTAAAACACTCACCTGTCCTCCTGCAAAAATGACAGGCGATCCTGAGGGTTTGGGTCGGTAAGGGATGGTCACACCTTTAGGAGGCGACTGAAGCGAGAACAGAGGGATGATGGGTCATATAATAATTCTAACAATCTAATCAGATTTAGTTTCAATAAGCAACATTGTTTGTAGCTCTATGAACCAATTCAGCTCCTCATATTCAAGCGTCACAGGGATGTTAGTGTGTATAATTAGCGAGCGTGCTGTTGGACATGGAGCTGCTGATGTCCTGGTGCACATGAACATTCACACCTTACCACAGCTACTCAGTTTCTTTTAGAAATCAAATGCAATTCTTTAAAATAACTTGGAGCAAACAAATTAACATTAGAAATAAACCACACAATATCACATACAATCAAACTAAGAATTATTCAGACAGCAGATATAATGTTTGATATTTTTATACTAGTGGATGCAGGACACTATAGTTCATTTATGTAAGTGAGGACAGCAAAATAAAGCAAACTGTGACACATTATATCCAAAAGTTCTTCATACAGTGGACTAACAGTAAAATTGATAACAATTTGGGACCAAAAATTATTCCGACACTTTGGCCTGACCATGTTTTGCTCAAGTGTTTTTTCTTTAATTGCTAATCCGACCTTTTTACACCACAGACTGAACAAAATGAAGCATTGCTGGGTAATTGGTTGAGCTAAATTGGTTTTATCTAATTGTGTTCTTAAATGTAACAGCTCACAGCTATTCAACCGAATTCATTCCATACCTTTCTATCAAAGTTATCTGGCATTATCAAGATGAATTTGTTCTGACACAGTTTAACTCAGAGTTCTTGTGAAATCATATTCCCATTTTCTAAACCAGGGCTGCACGATAAATCGCATGCGATATTTAATGCGCATCTTGTCAGAAAGCCGGTTCTGTAATCAGCGGTAAATCTCCATCACCTGCGTGCTTTCACATTGAGCAGCATTAACTACACGGAGCCGTTGTTCACTGACGAGCTGTGCAAAAAATCAGCGAATATGAATGTGGTTTTGCGATTTATCGTGCAGCCCTATTCTAAACTATAGTGAATTAACTGTGATAATGTGAGAAATGTTGAAGGTGTCTGAATAAATTTTGGATTTACTGTATATCATGCTGAACACAGATGAGAAGTAATCCGTATTTACAATAATCCAACATGGTATCCATTCACAGTTTTTACACTAAATTAACTTTCTTTTTTGTATTTGAGCAAGTATGTTAATATCACATTACAATTTTAAAATTCTTAATACTCTGGAGAGGTCTTAAGACAGTAAGACTTCTTAAAGACCCGCAGGAACCCTGAAACCATCACCGCAGGAACAATGCTCAGCATCGCAAGTGCTTATGTTGTTTATATTTCTTTATCTCGAGATATGAAATCAGACTCCATTCACTGTACTACATCTTCCTGATCTTACAGTGCACGACTCGTGTACATTAGAGGAGTATTAGAACAGAGTTGCCAAGTGAGTGAAAGTGGTTTGTACCTCCTCTAGTTTCTCAATGATCATGGAGAAGGCTTTGAAGATGGCGGTGGTGGGGCCTGCGAGGGTGATGATGCGTTCGGGGCAGTTCCCTTCAGAAATGTTGATCCGAGCGCCGCTCTGCAGAGAACAACAGGCTCCTTTAGAGAGGCTCAAAAGACGATCACTACCACGTGGAAACCCATCACAACCACAGCTACACTCACCTCCTCTCGCATCTTCTTCACCGATTCACCTTTCTGCAAGATACAAAGACACATGTATACAAGTAAATGCATATAACACATTATGGGTGCATTCATATATAATCAGTTACACCAGTATTAGATCTGGTCGACCACTAGGTGGTGCTATGGGTGCCAATACAATAATATAAGGCAGTTTGATTCTAAATTTCCAATTGTATTATTTAAAAATGAAAACATTCAAATAAAACATTCAGATAAAGGACATTAAATGATCTATTTACACAAAAGATTAATTCAACTAAATTTGAAGGGCACACGTGCAGACGGGTGTCAGCGTAGAGCGCCTGCGTGGATTGTTTGTTTAATACCATGCCATCTTCTGCCATTTTTCATGAAAACTAGTTGAAAAAAATAATTATATATATATGGCAAAAATCATAATCACGATTATTTTGGTGAATATTGTAATCACGATTATGAGGGGGCCGTATCACCAAAACTTCATAAGAGTGCTTTATTTAAAGATAGTGATACATATCAAATATTTATTTCCTGTAAATAAGGTTGCTATGACATCTACATTGTAGAGACCAGCGGAATTTCAAACAAACAAAAGTCCTCAATTATTGAAAATAATTAAACTGTCAGTAATAAAAAAAAAACAAAGGACAAATACAATAGAATAAAAAGATACAAATGAAACCAACTGTGCTTTAATGTGTTTTTATGCAAGTCTCAAGCGGTTTACAGCCTACTACAGAAATGAATAATCAAATGTAAAATAAAACGGCATAGTCTTCACTGCAAGAATTAAACTTTTCTGTTTCTTATTAAAGCTACAAAAGTCTTCCACTCAAGAGCAGTGTGTGATTTTGAAATTGTCTTTTGTTGCTTGATTAATATTAAGCACACAGTCGCAGCAGGAATATTAGGCTGCTGTCACTTTAAGAGCCTCACAGATCCAATGTACCGTTACACACGTATTTTCATTCTCAACTCTTTACGTTCATTTATTACATAACTGATGAAGGTATACATGAATAATCAGTAAGCGCCACATTTTAAAATTTTTGCGTGTATTTGACCGTTTAGGTGCTAAAAGATGACTTAACATGTCCGTGTTCTGCTCCGTCTCGGAGCGCATATATCTTCCTGAGGAGCAGCGCAAGTTCTCTTTCACGCTTTTAAAAATCATGAATAAATATACTTCAATCAAGCACGTCCCATTTTGTTAGTCAATGGCTACCAGCAACCATTGGGTTACCAACATTCTTCAAAATATTGTTGTGTTCAACAGAAGAAAGAAACTCATTCAGGCTTGGAACGACTTCAGTAAATGACCGAATTATTGCTTTAAGCCACTGTATTCCTGAGGACACTGATGGAGGAACTGTTGTTATTATTAAGTAAACTTCATAATGTTTCCCCAATAAAGTGGAATAATATTCCATTCCCCTATACCAGGTATAAGCGATATTACTGTAACATAGGGCTGGGCGATATAGCTAAAAAAATGTATCAACGATACAATGTTTCATATCGTTCGGTATCGATAATTATTGAAATTTTTTTATAACCTTTTTTAAAACAGAGCAATAGAAAAATGCTGTGTTGGTTTACACCAGATGTAACGGGACACACACCTTCCAAAAAGTTAAACTTTTGTCTCATCAGTCCACAGAATATTTGCTTAAAAGTCTTGGGGATAATCAAGATATTTTTTGTATTATTTTTTATTATTTGTATTATTATTTGTAAAATACATGTTTTTTTGCAGTGGTTCCCCAAACTGCGGACTTGGCAACACTGTAGCATGCCAACTTGATGCTTCCTCTGAAGACTGCTTAGATGTGCTCTACTTGAAGCAGCGCTGCTCAGACCGATCTGTGTGTGTCATCAAAGAACTGCGAGAGCTATAAGAGAGCGAACGTCTCCTTATGCTTTCTCTCGCCGTACTTTGATGTCATACACGACCGATCTTCAAGTCGAACACACCTCTTTACTCTCACGTGTCACGTGACCAAGTGTAATCGCAGCCTCTGCGGTTGAAAAATCTAGTTTTTTTATATCGCGATATTATCGCAAATGCAATTAATCGTTCAGCCCTATTAACGGCCGCCCAAGTATATATGGAGAAACATTTTTGCTTTTATTATTTTGAGCCTCATACGTTTTTTATCCGCCCAAAATAATGAAACCATCCGTGATCGATTAACGAGTGGAAAATCTCCCCTCGCTCTAAACGTTTCGTATCTGGTTTACTCTCGCTGACGTTCCCACGTACGCTGCAGAGACTCAGACAAAGACAGGGCTCGACAGTGCGGGCACTTCAGTAGCAAATAAAAATAGATGCGTGCGAACTGTAAAATATATTTAAGGACCACGTGTGCGAATAAAGCAAAGTAAACGATAAAGTCGTTATTTTTGTTTTCTTTTTGCATAAAAAGTATTCCGGTAGTTTCATAAAGTTAAGGTTAAATGACGGATATCACGCGGACTATTTTACCGATGTCCTTACTACCCTTCTAGGCCTTGAATGTGGTAATTGCATTGCTGTCTATGCAGGGTCAGAAAGCTCTCGGATTTCATCAAACACATCTTAATTTGTGTTCTGAAGAGGAGTTTAGACAGATTTGTGAACAATATTTGAGAGAAATAGGCCTTTTGTGTACATAGAAAAAGTCTTAGATCTTTGAGTTCAGCTCATGAAAAATGGGGGCAAAAACAAAAGTGTTGCGTCTATAATTTTATTCAGTGTAATATAGCATATCATACATTAAACTGTATTTAACTAATATGTTAAACGTTTTCTAATCAAATTTTCACAAACCTTTTAAACTTTACAAATGTTAGTTTATGTTTGTGCTTATGGAAATGGATCTTTACCATCCCTAATTAGGTTTACTATTTTGCATCTTAGGCTCATTTTGAGCACAAAGTATGTGCTTTCTGCATATGTAATTGTTGAAAGTGTAATTGTATAGTTTATTGATTTTAAAATTTTTGTATTTAACTGTATTTAACACGAATAGTTATAATGTGATTACCCTCTAACCGATAATAGTCTATTAATAACAGATGGATAGTAGATTTGATTAGATTTGATAGACTCCCACTGGACGGCAACTAAAAAAGAAAGACACAGTGTCCACTTTATTCCAGTGGAATAACTATTGCACCACCAAGGAGCTATAGCAGATTGTTAAAAGCGCTATATAAATAAAGGTGACTTGACTTGACTATAGCAGAGGAGAGAAGTTTCCACCCCAGCGACTGAAGATTATCAGGAGTATTATTGTTATCCAACGGCTGTTGACTTTGATTTAGACCAGACTGAAGATCTCAGAGAGGAAGTGGAGCGGGAACAAGTTGTCTGTCTGTCAGAGATTTTGTTTGGGATGATTTGCAGCATCCGATGATGATGAACAGTCTTACAAACCTGGTTTATGTGACAGGGCTAGGCTAGCTACAACGAGTAGACTGTATGTAGTGCAGTGTTTCAGTATCCAAAAATGTATTATGAAAACATTAACCTCACAGCATTATTTATGCTTCTGCAGTGCAAAGATGGATTTTGTTGATACTGATTTCATTTGACTGGTACCAGCCTATACTGTCTTATTGTAATTGAATATTGATTATTAAATGCAAGAATTTTACAAAAAAGATGATGCATACATCTAATAAATCTAAAACAAATGCCCATATAAAGGTAAATATGTCCCTGGAAATCACTCCATCTTCTCTTTATCTCACAGTTGCTTGCCTCCTTGTGAACTACCAGAATTGTTGCTTGGTAAAAGCATAGGCAAATAAGTATAAACTAGACACAGCATTTGCTCTCAGGGGATTGATCATTTTAGATTTATTTGTAAATGGGTCATTCATGGGATTTGGTCATCTACCAAAAATCTAACATGCAGTGCATTCTGTATCTTTCATTCCAATTAAATATATGTACGTTTCAATCTATATATTTTAGTGTGGCAGCAACCAGTGGAGTTTCTGAAGAGTGTGCTTGAGCATAAATGCATAAGGGATCTCCTGGAGTATGACAAAAGAGGGAACACGCAATGAATTGAACATAAAATAAAGCAAAAACAGTGAAGTCATCAGCTGCCATGTTTATTACAGCTGCATCTCAGATCTCAAATCAATTAATTAGCAGAGGTTTTTACTCCACTACATTCATGTAACATCATTAACGCCCGTCCTATATTGTTGAACCAACGTGGTTCAAATGACGGAGATGTGACAATGTTTGGGAAACAGTCGTGACTAGCTAGTTAATTTCTACAACAGTGCATCATGCTATGGTAGGTAATCATGGTAGGTAATAAAAGCATAAACTAGAAGAGAAGATAACCTTTCCCATAGAAGTGTTACACTTTTTGGCTGTATCACCTTCTCATGTCTGTAAATGTAGGTAGTAATTAACAGAAATTTTTAAATAAGAACAACACATTAGTCCTTCAATTCTCTAGTGTAGTCTACCTACTATCAAACTATGTGGCTTCTCTGACTTACTCATAGATAGCCTTCGTGCTGATCCCTCTTGTCACCTGGTCCTTTTCAGAAACTCAAAAAAATGCCTTTCTTATGCAGTGTGTCCATCAAAACTTTTTTTAGTGCCAGATATAAACTCGCAATTCTGACTTTATTTCTTGGAATTATGAGTTTATATTTCACAATTCAGGAAGAAATAAATCAGAATTGCAAGATATAATTATTCTCCTCCGAATCACCCTCAAGCGCCATTTTGTAGAGTATCACGACGCATGCGCGTGCTTTGATCTGCATTGTGATGCTCTCCAAACTGGCACTAGGGTGATTCCGAAGGAGAAGAGATTTGTTGAATAAAGTTGTTAGTTTAATTTTTTTGCACACAAAATGTATTCTCATAGCTTCATAAAATTATGGTAGAACCACTGATGTCACAGGGACTATTTTGTCCATTTAACCCTTGTTATCTTTGGAGGGTCAGAAAGCTCTCGGATTTCATTCAAAAATTTGTGTGCATTAACTTTCTAAGAAGAGTACATACAGTGGGGCAAAAAAGTATTTAGTCAGCCACCAACTGTGCAAGTTCTCCCACTTAAAAAGATGAGAGAGGCCTGTCATTTTCATCATAGGTATACCTCAACTATGAGAGA